TATATTACCTTGGGAAAATGTCACTTTTCTCCAGAGAAACTAAAACCAATCAATAACAAGGTGAAGCAACTAGTTTAACTTGTGTGGCACAGAACTTTATGTGATGTGAGGAACTGTTTATTTTATTTTATTTATTTGTATATTTATTTATTTATTTTTTACTGGGGCTTTATTTCTACATCTTAGTTTCAAAGTGCTGATGCGTAAAATAATTTTGGGGGTCATCTCCGTGTTTTGTCATTGGTAAAACGCGGGGATTAAATCCAGAACATATTTACAATAATAATAATAATAATAAGAAAAATATGCGATGAACTAAGAGATGTATACCTAAACTTTTTGATGTATGCACTGCATTACTGTAGGCTCTCTGGCACACAGTACAAAGCGTCATGAGGCAACTGCTGTTGTGATTTGGCGCTATTAAAATTGAAAACGCTGCATTTCCTGAAATTCTGTTTGTGACGTGACTTGATATAATTGTAGGCCGGCGGCTTCACTCTTCAAGCATTTCCACCTCTTGGACATGGCGAGCAGTGGTGGCTGCTATAGCTGCATGAGTGAGACCGCAACTGATCCAGGATCCGCTCGGTCTCTAATTAGCGCTCTGCTCTTAATGAAGCGGGGAGGGAGGGAGGAAGAAGGTTTGAGGGGGTGGGGGTAGCGAGGAGTGGACTTCGTCATCACAGGATGTGTTTGAAACAATTTGAGAGTTACTGTAGTTTGCTTCATATTCCTAATTTCTTCTTTCAGACATACCTGTCCTCTCCCCTCCCGCGCGTAACAGCCGGCGTTTAGGCTATTGTGAAGTTTTATAGCACAAATATGATGTTAAGCTCCTAAATCCTTATGCAAATTACCCCCTCTGTAATACCCCTAATTGAATACATGCATATTTATCATCTGTGTTTTCTATCTGCTATAATGCTGGCTTTATACATTAAACATAGCGGCAGCGGGCATGTCTGCGGGCGTGTATGAAATATGATATTAGCTGGTGGTGTAAGATTAAGGGAAAAATATTAGTTTGTATTTGTATCTGAAGGGGCCGGGCTGGTTTGTTGCTTGGGTTTGATTGGAGCGAGGAAGAAACGCAGAATTTTAGAGATGATTTATGCAAATTTAGGCCGGGGTCCGGACTACAGCAGAATATTCCTAGAAATGTGCTCACAATATTCACACAGCGAAGAGGAAGAAAAGTCACAATATGAAAATTAAAAACAGTTCAAATGTGTTAAGGCCGGGCG